GTACATGCTGATTCTCTTCCCCTCAGATCTCTTCCTTTGCCTGCCCCCTCTTTCCACTCCTGTATTAGCATGAGAAAATAAGTATACCGAGGAACTGTCTAGGTCAGATATAAGATGGGCTATTTTGGAGAATTTTTGCTACAAGTTCTTGGTTACATTTAGGGGATGATAAAAGGAAGCCATGGTCCCCGTCCTTGGAGTTCACAGTCTGGTGGCTGAGACAGTCAAGTAAGACCAAAATGCCAGACCCCCGTGACAGATGCCATGAGATGAGGGACACCTAGCATAGAAGATGGGGCCACAAGTGTTCCTGGAGGAGGTGTCTGCCTCCCCTTCTAGAAGGCTGTGAGAGTAAGCGGGTGTTGGAAGAAGAAAGAATTTCTGCTCCGGAGGGCAGCTCAAGGGTTCTTCTCTGTTATGCAAAACCAAAGAGAAGTAAAACAAACAGCTTTGAAGGATAATACTGTAAGTGGCCCAGTAGGGTTGGAAGGGGAGGTTGGGGTTAGAAGCTACATCTCAGTGGACAACGTTGAATGGGAGAGCGAAGATTTTAAAGACATTGGGCTGTTCCATAAAATGTGCTCCTGGTCCGTGCCGTCTCCTCCCAATGCCTCTGATGTTTCCTTGAGAAACTAAATAGAGATTTATATGCCTTTAAATTCATTTTGAAAACGAGACCGGATTTCTTCTATTGCGTTGTGTGTCATGACTGGACCACTAGGGGCCCTAGGATTTTAAAATTTTTATTATTGTTATTTTTTCTTTTTTTTAATTTACATCCCAGTTAGTTAGCATCTAGTGCAACAATGATTTCAGGAGTAGATTCCTTAGTGCCCCTTACCCGTTTAGCCCATCCCCCCTCCCACAACGCCTCCAGCAACCCTCAGTTTGTTCTCCATATTTATGAGTCTCTTCTGTTTTGTCCCCCTCCCTGTCTCTATATTATTTTTGCTTCCCTTCCCCTATGTTCACCTGTTTTGTATCTTAAATTCCTCACATGAGTGAAGCCACATGATATTTGTCTTTCTCTGACTGACCAATTTCGCTTAGTATAATACCCTCCAGTTCCATCCACGTCGTTGCAAATGGCAAGATTTCGTTCTTTTTGATTGCCGAGTAATACTCCATTATGTATACATACCGCATCTTCTTTATTCACTCACCCGTCGATGCATTTGGGCTCTTTCCATACTTTGGCTATTGTTGATAGTGCTGCTATAAACATTGGGGCGCATGTGCCCCTTCGAAACAGCACACCTGTATCCCTTGGATAAATACCTAGTAGTGCAATGGCTGGGTGGTAGGGTAGTTCTATTTTTAGTTTTTTGCAGAACCTCCATACTGTTTTCCAGAGTGGCTGCACCAATTTGCATTCCCACCAGCAGTGCAAAAGGGTTCCTCTTTCTCCTCATCCTCCCCAGCATCTGTCCTTGCCTGAGTTGTTAATTTTAGCCATTCTGACAGGTGTGGTGGTATCTCATTGTGGTTTTGATTTGTATTTCCCTGATGATGAGTGAGGTTGAGCATTTTTTCATGTGTCGGTTGACCATCTGGATGTCTTCTTTGGAGAAGTGTCTATTCACGTCTTTTGCCCATTTCTTCACTGGATTATTTGTTCTTCGGGTGTTGCGTTTGTTAAGTTCTTTATAGTTGTTGGGTACTAACCCTTTGTCTGATATGTTCTTTACAAATATCTTCTCCCATTCTGTCAGTTGCCTTTTAGTTTTGCTGAATTCTTCGCTGTGCAGAAGCTTTTTATTTTGATGAGGTCCCAATAGTTCATTTTTGCTTTTGTTTCCCTTGCCTCTGGAAACCTGTTGAGTCAGAAGTTGCTGCGGCCAAGGTCAAAGAGGTTTTTGCCTGCTTTCTCCTCGAGGATTTTGATGGCTTCCTGTCTTACATTTAGGTCTTTCATCTACTTTGAGTTTATTTTTGTGTATAGTGTAAGAAAGTGGTCCAGGTTCATTCTTCTGCATGTCGCTGTCCAGTTTTCCCAGCACCACTTGCTGAAGAGTCTGTCTTTATTCCATTGGGATATTCTTTCCCGCTTTGTCAAAGATTAGTTGGCCATATGTTTGTGGGTCCATTTCTGGGTTCTCTATTCTGTTCCATTGATCTGAGTGTCTGTTTTGGTGGCAATACCATACTGTCTTGATGATTACAGCTTTGTAATACAGCTTGAAGTCTGTATTATTATTATCTTTTAAGTTTATTTATTTATTTTGAAAGAGACAGAGACTGTGCGAGTGGGGGAGGGGCAGAGAGGAGACAGAGAATTCCAAGCAGCCTCCACGCTGTTAGCATGGAGCCCGGCCCTGGGCTCAAACTCACGAAACCTTGAGATCATGACCTGAGGTGAAAGCACGAGTCCGATCCTTAACCAACTGAGCTCCCAGAATTTATTCAGAACACAGAAAGACAGGATACTGTGGTAGAAACCAGCAATATTAGAACTTACGTTTTCAGCGACGTAGCATTTCTAGGTGATGATCAAGTCTGGAGTGTGGCCAGGGTGAAATGGAATAGAGGTGCAAGGTCTTGAAAATGAAGCTTGCAAATTAATGCAGGGGAAGTGCAGCAGACGGCAGGTGGAGATGTGGGATAGATGATGAAGTTCAGTTTTTCAAAACCTGAACACCATAGAGGAGTAGAGAGGCTCAGGGGAAGGGTCCTGTGAGTGAACCACATTTCCACTTTCTCTAGGAGTCTGTCTTTTCCACTACACCGTGAACTCCTTAAACAATCAGGGCTTTTATTCCGTTCCTACTTTGTGCTCAAAATTCAGATAGACTGAATATCTACTTCTGCTGGCATTGTTCCCTAGTTCACAGTATCACAAAACCCCTTAAGATGGGGTTCATTTTATAGATGAAACCTAGAAAGTGTATTGTTCAACATCACACAGCCAGGGCGTGTATGGTCAAAAGCCGGTGATTCTGCTGGAACCCACCATTGTCTCATTTTGAACCTCCCCAGGCATCTCCAGTTCATGAAGTCCAAAGTTTAACTGGTCATCTCTACTGTTTCGCCCCAACGTGCCTCTTCTAAGTTTTGTTTCTTACTGAATGGTGCCACCATCCACCCAGAGGTCCACACGAGAAATCGGGGAGTCTTGGGGCGCCTGGGTGGCTCAGTAGGTTGAGCATGTGACTCTTGGCTTCAGCTCAGGTCGTGTGATCTCTCTCAAGATAAACAAATAAACTTAAAAAAAAATTTTTAAATACAGTTTTCAGAAAAAGGTAAAATGATGACAGTCATGCTGCTAAAGAAACATTTATTCTGACGACAGTTGTTCAAATGGTAAGGAAGACTTTTTTCAGGACCATTGTGATAAGCGTAAAGACTATCCCAGTCAGAGAGGTTGGGCTCCACTCTGCGTACAATAAGGACAAGGGGCTATTTAGAGCCAATGAGAAGTATGAGAGGGTCAGTGGATGGAAAATTACATCGAGGATAAGGAGATCCTGGCTAAACTGACTTAGCAGGGTTCTTGCTGAAAGTGGCTGGTGGTCCAAGGATGAGGCCTATTTGAAAAGAAACCTCAGAGGAGCCCGTCTGAAGTTTGGTCGAGGAGAGTCTTTGTCAATATCTAAATAAAAATGAACACGTGTGAAAGATGTTATTTAACTCACGAGGGAACTGGCAGATGGTATAGCTAGTTTAAAAGAAAATCTGAAGAACAGACATTTACAGATCAAGAGTACAGAATTGAAGATGACAATGGAGGCGAAAACTGTTTGCTTGTTTGTTTGTTTTGTGTGATGTGGGGAATAGGGGGTTAATTGAACCTGATATTGGGACAAAATTTGCATGTCGGATCAGTTACCTACAGAGTTGTAAAATAGTTCCCATGGAAACAGACTCTCGTAAGGCAGCAGCAGGATCCAGCAGCAGGATCGTCACTTCTGGGAAGTGTTTCCCGAGTCTCTACGTGAGAATGGGTTGCAATTTCTGGGCAATCGTGTTTATCACACTATATTGTTTATATCCTTCCCTTCCTCCCATACACGCTCATGAACTTTTTGAGGCAGACATCGTGACTTATTCCAAGTTTCCTGGCTCTGAACAGCAGCTTCTTAGGAACATAACATGCTAAGAGGGTAGTGGAAGCCGCAAGATCAACATATTGGGTACTAATGGAGCGTCCATTTTATTCTAATATCTGGGAAAACGCAGTTTTACATTGAAGCTGGCGCTTCCCTCTTCACTCAATGTTTCCTTGTTTTATTAACTAACCGTTTCTATTTCAAGGTCGCGGGACACCCTGGGGATACAAAAATGCGCCTGAGCAGTCGCAACGAGATACCCCGAGCAAGAAACAATTGTGAGACTAAGTGGCACTAAGTGGCAGGGGCACCACGGACACGCCGGGAAGGGGCTGGCCCGCCGTGACAGGTCTTGGGGCGCGCCAGAAACTGTCGCACTGGCCTCTGGGTCAGGCTCGGCCCGGCAAGAGAGCCCTGGTGGGAGCTGATGTCTTCCCAGTCTGAGGGGTGGGAAATGGCATCCGGGCCGGAGCGCGTCCAGGAAGGAGAGCCCCCCGCCGGCTCTCGGAGCGCCCCAGCCCCGCCCGCCCGCCTGCGCTCGGGCCTCTGTCGTCCTCTGTCCCCCTCTGTCTCGGGCGCCCCGCCCGCCAGGCCCCGCCCCGTGACGCCAGGCCCCGCCCCGTGACGCCAGGCCCCGCCCCGCGGCGCCCGCTTCCAAGATGGCGGCGGCGATGCCTGCCAGGCAGTCCGGGTGGCGGTGACGACGGGAAGCTGGAGAGCAGGTATGTGGGCTGGGGGTGATGGGGCGAGAGGCCCGGGAGAAAGGTTCGGGCGACTGGCGCGTTGAGAAGTTTTGGGCAAAGGCTGGAGACCAGCTTGAGCGGGGAGGGGGGGGGGATGCGTCCCAGGTGGACGTTCGGACAGAGGCCGGTGGGCTCACGTTGCAAATGCAAGAGGAGGTTGGGGTGGGATGGGGGTGCGCGGAAAGAACAGGTCTGTGACCCTCTGCAGCGCGCTGGCCACGCCCCTTCAGTGAGCCGGGCCAGGTATCCCCGACAGGTTCTGCCCAGCCCTCCCTCTCCCTGCCTCACTTTTAGCCGTAACCCTCCTCCCCACCCCCGCTAGGACGGGGATGGGGTAGAAAGGGTAGAGGAGGCCACCCCCACCCTCCTCCCCGCCGCGCTCCGGGGCTGTTTGCTTGCAGCTCCCAGGTGGTCACGCTGCCTGCACCTGCGGAGCTAGCTCCCAGGCACGTGAAGAACGGAAAGGAGCCTGTTTCCTACTCCGCCCTTGGTCCTCCTGAGGCCACTCCACAATCCTGTCGTGACTGCCTCACCCCTTGGCGAAAATAATGGCTCCATTAGCCGCCTTGTCCCTACTCCCCAAACAGGTTGGTCCTGTTGGGGTGGGGTATGGTTAAGTAAGCGTGAACCCGACCCTCTAGGCAGCCGGGGCAGAGGCCAGGGACCTACGATCTCTGGCTTCTCCCCTTGTCTTTCCAACCGCTTTCCCTCACTTCCCAGTTTCACCCTGATGTTGAGCTCTGCCCCTCTGGGTGGGTGGTTATCCTTGACCACTTGTGTTACAGCTGGCCCCCGGATCGCTGTTGGAGTGTTGGATGGAGCCCTTCTCTGTCCTCTGTGACATTTCCAATTTTAGATAATGCCTCACATCTCTGCCCCGCCGGGACCCCCCGAAGCTCCCATGATCCCGAAGAAGACGGCTTGAACCTAGGTGAGTCTGTCCCCCTCTAAAATTGGAAGGGAGGTTCTCCAGGGACTCCTTTGAAAGGGACATGGGACCTGAATGATGTAAGCATTCTTGGGGGTGGGGACCGAGAGTAGTTGGCTGAGTGGTTTGGGGAGGAGGTGGAGGAGAGTGAAACTTGGGCTGGAAATGGCAGGTGGTAGGGCTGCTGGCGGTTACATTCTGTTTCTTTTTCGTGCCTGACCGTTCACCTGTGTGCTCCCTTCTGCGACTTTGTTCTTTGTCTCTTCTTCCTCTTAACTCGCGGCGCCGCCTTCATTCTTAACTGAGGATCTCTCTGCTGGCTTGCTCGTTGCCTGCCTGCCCCCCAGAACTCTCCTCTCTCCCTCCTCAGACCTCACCCCAGGATGTTGCGGAGGCTGCTGGAGCGGCCCTGCACACTGGCCCTGCTTGTGGGCTCCCAGCTGGCTGTCATGATGTACCTGTCCCTGGGGGGCTTCCGAAGCCTCAGTGCCCTATTTGGCCGAGAGCAGGGGCCGACATTTGACTATTCTCATCCCCATGATGTCTACAGTAACCTCAGTCACCTACCTGGGGCCCCTGTTGCCCCAGGGGGTCCTCCAGCTCCTCAAGGTCTGCCCTACTGTCCAGAACGATCTCCTCTCTTAGGTGAGTGCAGAAAGGAGGAGGAAGTAAAGGGAAGGCCAAGGTGTGGGGACAGGGCTAGGGCGGCAGGAGTGGGGGCTTGGATGATGCTAAAGTACCTGAAAGGTGGGCTGAGGTTGACGTGGAGCCCGTTCCGAATTTGGAATTTAGATTGGGCTCCTGGGTTGAGCCACAACTTTCCATCGCCTGGCCATTCTCGTGCTCTCCCTGCCTTGGGCTGGGAATTGCTTCCTTTGTAGATGAGCTCTGGTTTAGTTAGTTGCAAGTCCTGTGTTCTCCATCTTCTAACGGTAGCCTCCAGCCTAGCGAGGCAGGAGAGAGGGAGCGTGAAAAGACGCAGGCCGGGTGGAGAGCCTGTACCTTCCACACTTTGTAAAGCTGTCCCAGTGACGGCATACGCGAGGCTTGTGAGGTTTCTAACGAGCCCTCGGGAAAGCTGAGCCCCGGCACCCAGGCTGCCAGGGCCAGAGGCGCTCCCAGGCCTGGGGGTCCTTTTCTCATCGCCCCTCGAATCCCTGACCTTGCCGTTCTCTCCCCGCAGTGGGTCCTGTGTCCGTGTCCTTTAGCCCAGTGCCGTCCCTGGCGGAGATTGTGGAGAGGAATCCCCGGGTGGAGCCGGGGGGTCGGTACCGCCCCGCAGGGTGTGAGCCCCGCTCCCGAACCGCCATCATTGTGCCCCACCGTGCCCGGGAGCACCACCTGCGCCTGCTTCTCTACCACCTGCACCCCTTCCTGCAGCGCCAACAGCTCGCCTACGGCATCTACGTCATCCACCAGGTACCCGGGCCCCGCCCGGCTCTCTCTGTGACGGAGCCTCGGGTCCCTGCCCCCCCACTCCCACGTAGTAGGGCCCTGGAACAGTTCTGAGGGGGTCAGACCGTTGAAGGTGGGGAAAGACGCAGCACTGCTCGGCCAGCTTGTCCGCCCCGTAACTCCCCCGGTTCTGTTTAGGGTGTTGTTCCCACGGTCTTCCGTGATCTCTTCCTTCGTTGAACTTGCAATGGTGCAAGTTTGGCACCGGCCAGACCCGGACTAAAGTTAGTTCTGCCATTTGTCCCACACGTGACCTTGAACAAGTTTCTTAACCCCCTAAAATGAGGCAAAGAGTGAAAACTAATAGACACCTGTTTTCCGTGGCTATTGGTTGTCAGGATGAAAATGCTAGACAGCGGCACGTAAGTATCAGACACATGCTGATGCTCAACAAGTATTTGCTGAACGAAAAATGAACGTTTGTCTTTCTCTCCATTCTGCTCGCCACCCTCCCTTCACCCGCCTTTGATCTCCCTCCTTTCATTTTTGTACTTGGGCCCCTCTTCTCCATGCTGCCTACAGACACGGTCTGCTTCTCCTCCATTACCTTCCAGGCTGGCAATGGGACCTTTAACAGGGCCAAGCTGCTGAACGTTGGGGTGCGGGAGGCCCTGCGTGACGAGGAATGGGACTGCCTGTTCCTGCACGACGTGGACCTGCTGCCCGAGAACGACCACAATCTGTATGTGTGTGACCCCCGGGGACCCCGGCACGTCGCCGTCGCCATGAACAAGTTCGGATACAGGTATAGAGGGCACGAGAGGGCGCGGGGAAGTAGGGAACCCCACCGTCCGCTGGGGGGAGAGCCAAGGGGATGTGGGTGGGGATGTCTCCCCAAAAGACTTGTGGAATCCAGGCACCTTTCTCTCCCTAGCCTCCCGTACCCCCAGTACTTTGGAGGAGTCTCGGCGCTCACTCCTGACCAGTACCTGAAGATGAATGGCTTCCCCAATGAATACTGGGGCTGGGGCGGTGAGGATGACGACATTGCTACCAGGTCAGACTTCCTGCCACCACTCCCTACCCCCACCTCAGCCTGGGGGCCTGTCCTCGGAGAGCACGCCTGACTCTAGCGAGCCGGACCCACACCGTGCCCATTCTTCTCCCTTAGCTTTTTCAGTCCACCCGGGTCAGGCTTTGCGTGCCGGTCTCCATTCTGTCGTCCCCCGGTCTCCTAGATCCTGATGAGTTATGTTTCTGGGAGAGACGATGAGATCAAGAGGCTACAGTATCACGGGATTCCTTCCAGAGTCGGAAGCGGGCCTAGCGACACTTCAGTCCTGCCTTGCAAGTCCTGGCTTGCATCCAGACCACTTCCGGTGGGGCAGGGGAGGAGGGGCTCTGCTCCATACAGCCCAGAACCACTTTGTTGGTTGGAGTCCGTGTCACTGGCACGGTGCCAGCTCATTTTTAGCCTGTGAAATGCTTTGACCTTCAGCCTCAGCTGACCCAGTTTCCTATCTGTGGCGTGAGGATTTGGGCTTGCTGTGCTAGACCCGTTGCGTCCCCTCCCCGCCTTGGCCCCTCCGGGACGAGCTCTCTGAATTCTTGTCCTCTGTATGTGTGTGAAGGACCCAGCAGTTTCTAAACGTACGTGTGCTTTCAGTACCTTCCCAGGCCATCTTCAGGTCTTGCTTCTGTGTGTCCCAGATGGGGTTTGTTTCCCTCCAGGTCCTGATTATTTGGTTCCGTTCTTTTCCTAATGACGGGGACAGGTGGAGGGGTCGGGGTGAGGGAGTTGAGGCAGCTCGGCCGCCGTTCTAGATAAGAGTTGCCGAGCTTGGGTCCGCGACTCTCGGTCTTGCCCTGTCCTTTTGATCAGATGGCTCCTCTCCCTGCCCTTCCTGGACTGCCAGGGCGCTTCCCGTTAGCCACGTAGAGAGCAAAGGTGGGACGTGCGCACCCACCTCTGCCCGTTGTTTAACGAGGCCCCAGGGTTTGGATGCACTGGCACCAGCCCCAGGCTTTGGATACATCCAGCTTCTACGTTCTCTTGTGCCACTTCCTTCTTTCTCTTTGACTTTCTCTCTTCTTCCAGTACGTGGCACTTTTTTGCCTAACCGGTGAGAGTGGCTCTCTGTGTACAGAAACACGTAATCGCTTCCTTGCTGGCCGGACGTAGCTCCTGTTGGCCTGTCCGGAGCTTTCCTCCACTCCGGATCCTCCACGGTGCCCTCACTTTTCCCATAGGGTACGTCTGGCTGGGATGAAGATCTCGCGCCCCCCGACATCCGTGGGGCACTATAAGATGGTGAAGCACCGAGGAGACAAGGGAAATGAGGAAAACCCCCACAGGTAGGGAGGACCGCCCGCGAATGGTGACTGGGCCCTCAGGGTTCTGCATCCCGGCCAGGAAACGCCTAGAGGTCCCTAAGTCCCCGGCTGTTTCTCCCTGGGCCTTAGTTCTCCAACCTCTGACCCTCAGATTTGACCTCCTGGTCCGTACCCAGAATTCTTGGACACAAGATGGGATGAACTCACTGACATACCGACTGCTGGCTCGAGAGCTGGGCCCTCTCTATACCAACATCACAGCAGACATTGGAACTGACCCTCGGGGTCCCCGGACTCCCTCCGGGCCCCGTTACCCACCTGGTTCCTCCCAGGCCTTCCGCCAAGAGATGCTGCAGCGCCGGCCCCCAGCCAGGCCTGGCCCTCTGCCTACTGCCAACCACACAGCCCCCCAGGGCTCACACTGACTCCTCCTTCCTGCCCACCTCAATCATGAAACTGAATCCGAGGGGTCGCATTCTCCCCGCCCTCGGCTCCTCACTGCTCTCAGAGGGGACGTGGGGGAACTGAACTCCAGTGCTGGGCTGGAGGCAAGGGCCTCTCCTCACTGCTGGACTGGAGCTGGGCTCCTTTAGACCTGGGGGGTCCCTCTTTCTAGGGTCGCCTGCCAGGGCTTATGACTGAATCCTTGATGTCATGATTTTATGTGATGACTCCTGAGAGTCCCCGGCCCCAGGGGTAAGAGCAGGGCTGGACCCCAAGTCCCTTCCTCTTCCAGGAGAGAAGAGTGATCCGGCTTTTCCTGGGACCTCTGTGAATATTTATTCTATTTATGGTTCCGAGGAAGTAATGTTTGGTGAAGGAAACCCCTCCCTGGGTACTTTTCTGCCAGTGCTGGAGTAGCTTCCTCTTCTGGACCTGGCGCAGGGGGCTGGGATTTTGATATATTTTCTAATAAAGGACTTTGTCTTGCCTCTGCTCCTGCTTGCTGCATCCCAGGCACCTCGTGCCTATCTTTGCGACCTGCCCCCTGCCGCCTCGTGCCTGTAGGTGACAGAACAACCAGATCCAGCCAAGCTCCAGCAACTTTTATTTTCGTGGGTCAAGAACTGCCACCAGCGGGGCCAGGAGGAGGTGGGAGTTGGGGATCAGCTGTCCGGTTCCGAGCCCAGGACCCGGGCTGCTGCCTGGCGTCCGCTCTCTATACAGTCGTTAACGGCAACCCCCTCATAGGAGGCTCCGGCCAGAGTCAAGGGCAGCCTCTGAGAAGCCAAGAATTGCGTAGCTGCCTCTGGAAAGAAAAGATGAAAGGACGGTTAGAGCTGGGGGTCTGGTCTCCTTGCCCTCCTCAGCACACTCGCTCTCCCAACTCACCCAGTTTTTGCCAGTGGCCTAGTGTATACTGGGGGATGCAGTTCTGGGGAGAGAAGAGGGGATACGGGGAAATTTTTGCTGCTGATGAACAAGCCCGGGTAGACGGTGACAAATCCACCGCTTCCTGCCTTCGGTGGGAGTCGAGGAGCGTTTGCTCAACTCACCTTGTGTAGATGGACCAAGCAGTGGCTGGGTGGCTCTTTCAGTCCTAACTGGGTGGCAGCTGCTTCCTGGGCCTGTTGTTGGAGCAGCTCCGGAGATAAGGCTCCCCTGGCTACCAGCGTCTGTAACCAGGACCCTCCCAGCATCACCTAGGGAGAAGATATGGCACTGAGCAGCCTGGCCTGGCCTGCGCTGGGCACGGAGGAGCCCTCTGGAAACCCCCGCCAAGCAAAGCTGTCGCTTCTCACAGTCACTCGGAGGCCAGGGGGGCTTCCGTCCTGCTCAGGGAAAGCAACCGAGTCATACACAATTCCCAGGACGCCCGGGTCTTCTGAGGATGGCACCAAATGTCCAAATCCCTGGGGCGAGGAGAAGACCGGGTCAGGAAGGAGAGGTTCTGGTTGAGCCCATGCCTCTCGTTCCTCTGTGTCACAGCTACCTGCACAGGCAGACGGGCTCCTCGGTACTGCAGGTTCACCACAGCCACAGACACCGCAGTGATGGCGCTCAGGGCCCGGGCCAGAGGCGCAGCCTCCGCAGGGAGCAGCTTGCCGAGCACTGGGGGGAGAGCAGGTGGAGGCCCGCGTCAGGAGGCCTTCCCACCAGTCTCGCCCACCCTCCCCGGGGTTAGACCCCCCACAGGGATGACCAGTTCGGGGGGCACAGGATGGTCCCGTGGGTCCCGGAAGCTAAACTTTGCCTCACTCCCGCCGGGGAAGGGGACCGTGGCTACCTCGTTACCTGAAGCCGGAACAGCACTAATAACGTGGTCAGCATCCAGACTGCTGTCCCCTAGAGACACCTGACGGGACGAAAACATCTGAGGGACAGAGAGAATGGGAATGTTGCCCCACTTTCCCAGGCACCAAACGGGCAGGAGAGACTGAGTGCTGACCCAGGATGAAGAGACTGTGCGATCAGCACAGAACCCCCGGCCCCCCCCTCCCCCCACCCCGTTACTCCAGGAAGCGCAGACCAGACAAGCCAGTGTGGCCTCTGAGATGTGTAAGGGAGCTGGGCTGGCCCTTCCCCTATCTAAGCCACTTACAAGCACTACTTCTGTCTAGAGTTGGATCAAGCAGATCTCGGAGGAAGCTCTACAAATAAAGTCTAAGACCCTGGGGTGGCCCGTACTTAAACAGCATCTAGGAAAACCACGAATAACTAGTCTGGCCCACCCCGGCCTGGTTAAAACATAGAGGCAAAGATGGAAACTCTAATTAGACACACGTTCCACACCAGGGGCCTCTCCTACCTTCCAGCGCCTGTCTGCCTGGAGGCTGAGCCCACAGACGGGCTGGCCTCTGAGAATACGGACTCCTCTACGAGTCAGGTGGGTGTTAAGGGCTTGGGGCAACGTTTCCAGCCCTCCTCGGAGGGACCACTGGCTCCAGCGCTCGGCTCGGGCCTGGCTAATGAGTGCGGAGTCTGGCTGCGGGCTCTGCCCTGCACAGGAGGAGGCAGGGAAGAATCATTAAAACAGCACCCTGGCCTCCAGTCCCTTACTCTGGCGGTCCTTAATATCTTCATCCCTTGAGCCAATCCCCACTCACCTGCTCCCAGCAGCAGCCCCAGTAAAACGGAACGATGGGTTTGCTCGGCTTGGAAGAGACTGGGAAAGCAGGACCTGACGCTGAGCTCTCGGCTGTTGCCTGCAAACACTCCTCGGCAGAGGCTGTCCATGGCTAGAGACGCCACCTTAAGGGTGAGACCAGGATTGAGAGGCCAAGGAAGAAGCCGCACAGCCTACTTCCCACTGGTCCTGCTCGGTAGGGAACAGGGGTGGGGTAGGGTTTCCGTTGGGGAGCAGCCCGGCTGTAGCAAAACAATGGGAAGCAACGGAGGGCATCCACTCCCGACTGTTCTGAGGACTACTGGAGGTGAAGAGAAGGGGGCATCCCCAAGCCCTACAGAAGAGCCCCCCTAGGTGGCAGGTATGAGTGGAGGGCTCTGCAGCTGGTTAGGACGGAGGGGTTTCGGGGCCTCTGGGGCCACGTTACCTCGGGTCCAAGGCGGCGCTGGGCAAAACTGTGCACAGTCTCATCAGGGTCTTTGCCCCTGGGCGCGGTCAACTCCCTCAGCCCAGCCCAAAACAGAGGTTTGGAGAAGGGCGGTGAAGGGCGGAAGAGCCCCCTGCACTGAGGAAGGCATAGTCATTTCCATGCATCTGGCTCCTCTTGCTGGGAGGGCTGACAGACTGGGAGATGCAGTCGTGGAAGGGGTGAGAGCCAGGCGGGCAGGGGTGCAGTAAGGAGGTGACAGGCGTTACCTGAGGCCGGAGGGCAGCGCATGCAGGGCGCCACCTACGTACAGGAACCTGTTCTTGGCAGCTGGGTGGTCTCCCCGGACAGGCAACACTTCTGAGTCCAAGCCAAGCTCAGAAACCTGCTCTCCACACATCCTCAGGAAGAGGAGAAACTAAGGAAAGGACTGGCCCACCAATGCTCCCTCCCAAGCCTGTCCTCTAGTGAAGGGCCCTCCGCAAGCCCTCCTAGGCATTCCATAGCCTTCTCACCAGGAGCAGGGTCCGGGCCCCCAGCGCTCCCGCCGGCCGAATTCCTCGAGGTCCAAGTTCAAAGACAGCACCACCTGGCCCTCGGACTGAGCGGATCCAGCCTCCCAGACGCTCGCTGGCCTCCACCAGGACCACCTGGGAACAAGAGGGCGGCACGGCCTACATAGCCTCGGGGTAAATGGTCTGCAGGGGAAGAGGGCAGCGCACTCCCTTTTGCTGGAAACGGGAGGAGGGTATTAAAGCAGCCTCCCTCTAGGGGCGCCTGGGTGGCGCAGTCGGTTAAGCGTCCGACTTCAGCCAGGTCACGATCTCGCGGTCCGTGAGTTCGAGCCCCGCGTCGGGCTCTGGGCTGATGGCTCAGAGCCTGGAGCCTGTTTCCGATTCTGTGTCTCCCTCTCTCTCTGCCCCTCCCCCGTTCATGCTCTGTCTCTCTCTGTCCCAAAAATAAATAAACGTTGAAAAAAAAAAAATTTAAAGCAGCCTACCTCTGGCGCGACGGGGCACTCACCTTGGGGGGACAGGGGGCCCGGCTCAGGTGGTAACTGGCGGCCAAGCCGCTGATGCCTCCTCCCAGCACGACCACGGTCCGGCCCATTAGGAAACCTGGGTGTAGCCTGGGTAGGGGGCGCGGTGGGGGGAGGGGGATCGGACAGGCTGACGGGGCTGCACCTGCTCTGCGGCAGCCCCCCAGGTTCCACGTTCCACCCCCGGTCCGGGCCACTGCTCCAGGGGAAACCCGCAGAGCCCGCGGACGGGGTGGGGCCGGTGAGGTCCCCGCCCAGGGCCCAGGACCCACCCGCGAGAGGGCCGAGGGAGCTGGAGGGAGAGGTCTCCGGGTTCCCCGGCCGGCGCCCGGCGTGGAGGCGGATAAGGACCCCGCCCGCGCTATCTGCCAGCGCAGGGTTCGTGGCGCCGTGAGGGGCCCCAGGCCCGCGGCTCTCGCGCGGCCGCTTCGGCCGCCCCCTTCGGGCCCTCCGACTCCGCGTCCACTCCCTCCCGCCCCCGGATTGGCGGGCCTTGGGAGGCCCCGGATCACGCCCACCAATGAGAGCACAGAGCCGGAGGTGGCTCCCCCCCCCCTCCCGCCCGTGCCCCGCCCCGCGGAGGCCGGCCCTGCGTGAGGCTGCGGCGCCGGGCGGCGGTTAACTGCTTAGGTGCCAGTTGGAGAGGGCGGTCGGTCGGGCCCTGCCCTCCCCCGGGGCTGCGGCGGCGAGGGCTGGAGCCCGGTCAGCGGGCCCCGGCTCAGGCTTCCCAGGCCCGGCGACGGTGACAGCCCAGAGGCGGGGGGGATGGGAGAGAGGCGAGCGTTGGGTGCAGGGAGAGCGGACAGGGACACGGGCCGCTCCGTGGGGAGGAGGCTCCGTAAACAGCTCCTTGATGTTAGCAACAGCCCGGGCCTACGGGAGCCGGGGCCGCCCGGCAACGCGCCCCGTGTTTGTCAACAGGGGTCCTCGGGTGCCTCGCCCTCGAGGGGCAGCCCCGTTCCGGGCAGAAGACGGCGCCCTGAGCTTGCACTGGCTTCCCCGTAGCTTCACGAGTGGCAGGTGTGCCTTCCCTCTTTGCCCCCACGTTGGCACCCGCGTGTCCGGGTCCGGCACCCCCACCTCCGCCCGAGAGCGCCCCCGTCTGTCCAGAGAAGGAACTGGGTCCCAGGGGGACTCCCGTTCCGCCGGTTCTCTTATCTGGCCCCTAAGCACAAATACAGAGAAGGACATCACTTTTTCTTAATAAATTTATTCACAAAAAGTGAGGTTGTAGAGGGTCTGGGGGCTGTACACGGGCAGGGACCTGGGCAGCTCTGTACATGGGGCTGGGAGACGAGGGAGCCTCCAGGTGGAAGGGTACTTCTTAATAAAAAAAATAATGGGAGCTACAACCACCGCCTCCCCCCTCCCCGATTAAAAAGACACAAAAATAGACGTCTCTGAGGTAAATGGGGAGCCTGGGGCTTAAGGGTGTTGAAAGGGCGTCACAGGTGCCAGGGCGTAAAGGGGGTGTCACAGGCACCGGGGTGGCTCCTGCATCAGTTGGTAGAACAGCACGTAGCCCTCACTGGACGCCACCTGGTTTTCACTGACAGGGGAGACACTGGGAGGAGGGGAGAGGGCACGGGGCTTGTGACCGCTCCTGGGTCTTCCCTCCTCCCCGCAAGATCAACCTGGGGCATCTAGGAAGAGCACCCTGCCCTTCTGGGGCTTCACATGGGGCACAGGGGAGCGGCGGTGGGGATGGGGCAGGAATGGGGGGGGGGGGCGGGTCTCACCGAGAATCATTGTAGACGTGCCAGCCAGTCTGGCACCGGCACAGGGCCGTGTAGTGGCCGTAGTGGACGCTGCCCGAGTGGTTGCAAAGGGCATACAGCTGATAGATGGGGCTTCCTGTAGGGTGAGAGTCGACCACGTTCCAGGGCCAGAGCTGGGCCCGTTCCACCCGCTCTCCCTCCCCTTCAGAGGAGCTCTTCAGGACCTTCCCTTCCAGACTTACCGGCTTTGTCACTGGCAAAGTCCCCTAGGCTCAGTCGCTGCAGCGGGAAGTCTACACCTACTGAACTTTTCTTGATGGAGCCTCGGGAGGCAGAGAATCGATTAAGATCTAAGCCCTGGTCAAGGAGCATGTGCGTGGCGGGGGGGCGGGGGGGGGCAGAGGGCATTTGAAGGGGACTGAATGCTGTCCATTCCCCTCCGGGAGCAGGGCAGGAAAAGGCGGAGTGGCAGGCTTTTCCTAAGGAAAACTCGATTGCCAAACGTCCAGCCTCGGCAGACATGGAAAATGAGGGGGGCCAACCGGATGGGACAAATAAGAATTTGAAGATCAGGATACGGAGCACGAGGATTCGGGGGAATCTTTGTACTGTCAACTTTTTGGTACTTCGTGTTTTCTGCCGACATCGATCACACACCTGAATGAATGTCAAATAACGTCATGTTAATGTGCTCCGCCCCTCAGCCGGCTTTTCCGACACCTTAACTCACAAATTTACCACGCTTCCCATTACTCCCTTCTCCCCGGGGCCACTCCCCTGCGCCCTAGGATTCCTAGGCCGTATCTGAGAGCCCAACACAAACCCAGACATACAACTATTATGCCCGTATCAAAGCATCATGCGACCCCTTTTACTCAGATGGGCCCCCTCCCCAGGCCTCCCACCCTTACTGTATCCCTTGTGGAACCCCACATACTGGAGCATTCTCTGACTCCAGCTCTTCTTCCTTGGTGAAAAGGTTGAAACAATCCCGCAGAGATACCTTGCCCCCGGCAAATCCTTTCTGGGGGGGGGGGGGGGGGGGAGGCAAACAGGAATGAAAGGTCAGCATGTTCTGGATTTGCTTCTCCAACTCGTCTCCATCAATCCAGGCTTCAGTGCTTCTCCAGACACCCACAGGGTTCCCTCCCACGCTCTGGGGGTGGGCAGGGACGGGTCACAGAACCCACGTCCCATCCAACCCTGGAATCCTCCGGACTCCCACCTTGGGGATGGGCAGGGACAGGTCACAAAAAACCTCGAAGGTCGTGGAGCGATACCCACAGGCCTGGCACTTGAGACAACTTTTCAACTGGCCCACAAACAGGTCTAGACAGAAGCGAAGAGGTGGGACAGACAGTCATTCTGGGATGCCAGAGGTGCTCCCTCGGCCCCTCCTCTCTTCCCACCCCTCTTCCTGACCCTTCTTTTCCTAACCCCCTCGCCCCTCGTCCGCATTTTCACCCTCTAGTCTCGCTCCCACACCCCTTCATGGTATCGGTCTTTCTCCCAAGCCTGCACCCCTCCCCCACGCTGATTTGCCCGCCTGGCTTTGCCCGGTTCCGTACCCACAATCTTGCTGTCTTCTCGCTCCAGGTAACGCTTCCACATTAGGTTGGCTCGGTCATCATCACTGCCACAGGTCAAGGGAAGCGAGGAGCACCCATGAGACGGCGGGGACACCGGGGGCCCCCCAACACCACGGAAAGAACTCACGCAGCCCTGCACCGCACCCACCCCCAGCTCCTTCTCTATATTTCAAAGAAGCGTCAAAGGAGTAGGTCAAAGGAGTAACGCTTCAGAAGGCTCAGACGGCTTTCCGGGGAAATCCAAGGTGAGGGAAAAGAAGGGAATAAGGAAGGACAGGGAAAGAACAGCTGTCTTCACCTGGCTTGAAACTCTTTAGGTCCCTGGTTGTAAATTATCCCCTCTGCCTCAACCCAGGGCCATCCCAGCACTGCCCTCTGCCTCCAGCCGTACCCTTGGCCTCCCTCCCTCCTCCGACCTCTTCGCTGCTTCTCAAACCAGCTTCCAGGCTAAGCGGTTCCCTGGACCCTACATCCTCCATCTGGACTAGCCCAGTTCTGTGTGGGGTGAAGGCTGCCAAGCGTGTACGGGAAGGTGAAGGAGGGAGAGTGACCTCACCTCAGCTCCGGTTCTTCTAGCAGAGCCCCCCCGCGGCGGGGCTGAGAGGCAGCTGCACCACTGGCCAAGATTGGTGCAGCCCGGCGGCCGCGTCGGTTGATTTCGAGGTGCAGCCGCTCCATGAGGAGCTTCAGGAACTCTTGGGCATCCTGCTGGCTGCGGCCAGAAACAGGGTGTGGGCCACCGACCCCCACCTGGTCCCCAGACACGACCCCCCGCCCGCACGTCGGTCCCCACTTCTCGGATGAAGGACATCCGAGGGCCCCGAACAACGCTGCCAGGGCCCCTGCTCGGCCCAGAGAGGAGCCTCCTCCCCTCCGGCTCTCCCACCTGTATCCAGAGAAGGAGGGAACGTATTTCTGGAAGACAGCTCGGAATCGGGTGGGATTCACAGCTTCACAGGAGTCAGGATGCCACAGGGCACCGATCACATCCGCAAAGGCTGTCGGGGCGGGCGTGGGGAGACCAAGGTTAGTGACTAGAAGAGGCGGGCCAGGGGTGGCTCAGAGGGTGGAGAACCACCTCTAGGGAAGCAGGCAGCAGGAAAAACAGATGGCCAGATGCAACGGTCGTCGGGGCCACCGTGACTGGCAGGCGGACCCAGAGGTAGGGGAGAGGACCCGGAAAGGGGGGAGCAAGAGGTGTTGCCCTACCTTCAGTGAGCTCTTGCGCTCGACCCCCTCCAGGCACCTCTTGCCGGAAGTCCCTCCGCAGACAGAAGTCCCGAAGAGGCCGAGTGCTGCTCAAACACTGTAGCACTGCATTCAGGAAGCACTGGGAGGCGCGAGAGACACGGCCATCATTGCTGCAGACCACTGACCTGACGCCTAGAAGGGCTTCAGTGCGCTCCTTCCCCACCTCCCCCAGGTCGGCCCCCCGCCACCCCCACCCCGCACCATTTCTCATTCCCGCTAGGGAGGAAGGACAGGAGGCTGGCTCTCACCGTGTTCCCCAGGTTTCGCAGGCCAACGTGACCAGAGCCCAGGAGCAGTGTGTGATGAGCCTGGAAGGTCAGAGTGGAGTCAGCGGTTTCCCATCTATCCCGCCCAGCACTCCGACCTTTCAACAGCATGCCGCCCACCGCTTCCCCACCCCTGCACTGCACCCCCAAGCTCCACCCTCTTTCCCCCACCGGGTACTGGGGGCTCCCCTACCTCACTGGCCATGAGCATGTAAGCCCATCACAGCTGAGCACAGCACGGACTCGGCCAGGGCTGTCCCACCTGTTCCCCACTTACTCGCCTGCCCAGCTGGCCGGCGCTGCAGCTCCTGGGGCAGCTCCCCAAGCACGGGCATGGCTGCCCAGCCGCTCCCCATGCCCACCTTGCTTCCCCCAAGGCTTCCCCCACCCCCGCCCCCCCCCCGGGGCCCCTTCCTGAGCCCTCTCCTGATGGGTACAACTGCAGTCAACCTAGCTCACTTAGCTTGGGAAATGGACAACCACCCTAACTCAGATGCTCTGAGCCCGCCTCTCTTCAGCTCCAGAGATTAATTAGGCCCAGGCAGCATCCTAGGAGAGAAGCGGAAGCAAGGGAGAGTAAGGAAGGGCCCGGGGACCGGGGATGCGGAGAAGAATTCCAAATGGTTGGGTTAATTCTCTGGGGACTGAAATGGCACACCGTGCTGGGGACTCCCAGACAACCCCGAAAAAAAGGTCTGCGAGGCTCGAGGGTACTTAAGGAAGGGAGAGGAGAGTCCCAGCTGCTGCAGTGAGGGACTGGGGAAGGAACTCGGGGAAAAGAGAGAAAGGAAAGCCACCTGATGGCAAGAAAGCTGGAGGCACAGAGGAGCACGGGCACGGAAGGCCACGGGTGCCGGACAAGTCCTCACCATTTTGTCATCGGAGTAGAAAGACTCAGAGGGCCGGGCCGATATGACGTGAAAGGAGCCATGGGAAGTAGGGGGCTCCGTCCGTATACTGAGCAAGGTTGGGGGACCGGGAAAGCCCCCGAGGCGGCGGAGAGAAGCGCTGCGTCTCAAAGCCGGTGGCTCAGGCCGGAGCGCCAGGCGGCTCAGCGCAGCCCCGAGCTCCCCAGCGCCACGGTGCCCTCCCAGGGCAATCCCCATAGGCCGCAAGTCCCCACTGCTCACAGACTTGGAACGGGCTAGGTTGGTCCTGGAAGGGAGAGGCAGAGCCACGGTGGTCGGGGGTGGTGAGCCAGGCAGGGGAACTCCATGATCTGCCCGAAGGGGTCCTCTGGGACGAGGGCCTGAGGTCCGACCCCGTCCCAGCTCCAGTTTCTTGAGCCGTTCCTCAGGGGGCCCCGGCCGGGGAGGCAGAGGTCTTAACATGGGGTTCGGCCCAGGGGCTGGGTTTCGGCGCTCCTGGCTTCGGGCCCGTGGGGCAAATGGTAGCTTGGATCCCACTCGGGGCTGGACATTAACAGGTGGCTCTCGGGTCCGGCCCAGGCGGTGCTCAGAGGCCTGGGGCATTGTGGACACCACAGGCTGGACCTGGGAGGAGAAGAGAGGGTCAGTACTTGCATGTGGAGGGAGGTGGGAACCTAGGTTACCACACTAGCTTCTACATACTCCACAGGCAGGAACCCCGTCTGCCATGTCAGTCACTGTATCCCCAGCACCTCGCATCGTATTGGGCCCGAAGTAAATACTCTGTATCCGTTGAGTAAGTGAATGAATGACAGCAGCCCCCCGCGTTGGCTCTTTCTGTATTCCCCGTCCCCTTCCTGCAGAACACAGCTTGACTGAAAAGCCAAGGATAGTCTCGATCTCGGCGGTCTTTATGATCTAAACGCTCATGACGAGGGCCCCCATACCCGGCTAGTCAACGGGAGGTGCCCTGGGTCACTGAGAACCTCTGGACAAACGAGGGTGTGGATGTAAGGAAAAGAGCCCCAAAGACAGCGTCCCACCCTCAAACCCCTGCCTGCCCTCCGGGCTGCACTGAAGCGGACTAAATGGGTGCCTGGCGAATCACTCCCTCCCCCACCTCTGAGCTGCAACGAGGTGTTGGGGCTCAGGGGCAGTGGCGGGGAGGGAGGTCGAACAAGACCCTCATCTCCGCACCTCTCCCACCACCGCAGGGCTTCAGCCGGGTCCGCCCCCCTCGAGGGCAGAAAGGCCGAGGCCGCTGATTGGCTACGGGGTCCGGCGGCGTAGTCCCTGCGGTCCACGGATGCTGTCCCTCCAGCCCGGTTCCCCCAGGCCTGCTGGGCCCCCCGCGCCCTGCCTTTGTGGAGGGCGTCCTTTCGGGTCTGGAGCGGTCTTCCCGCGGCCCCCCCCCCCCCCACGCCATAGCGCCCCGGCCCGTACCTGTCCCCCGGTGAGGCGACGGGGGAGGCCAGCCGGGGCCAAGCCCCAGCTCAGGGCCACCCCCTACTACCCCCGTGCAGCCCCCCGGAGGGCCGGGCTGCAGCTTTAGCTGCAGCTGTTGCCCAGATCTCTCCCGCCGCAGGGGCCGCCGCCATCTTTGTTGGTCCCGCCCGGCCACCGGCCACCGGCTTCACCGTCTCTCACGGCGCCTGCGCACCCACACTCGGAATCCACCCACCTCCTTCCTCGGCGCTTGCGTGAACCCGCCCCCTTGGCTCCGCCGCCGCCACCATGGAAACGCAGCCAACTTTAGGACCGCCGGTTCCCAGATCTGCTTTGAATGGTTTTTAAACCGTCTCTCCAAGTCCCTGCAGCCATAAGGGTCCTGTGACCATAGGGATGAAGATCCGAGGGTCGTAGTATGGCCCCCAGGCTTGCAGACAGATCCTTGCCGGGGCGCCCGGGTGCCAGTGTGGGAAGCTGCGATGCTTGGGTCCGGCCCGCAGACCGGTGGAGAAGCATCCAGCACTCCACACAGGGATGGGAAGATCCCTGGAGGGCGGGGAACGCTGGTCCTGCAAAACCATTCCTCAGGCATCTTGCAGACCAAAGCAGTAGGCACCCCGCTAAAGGACGCCAGCAGATCTCTGCAAGCAGATCTCAGCAGGAGGGAGAGCAGTCAAGATTTCCTTTCATTTCCCAGCTCCTCACCACAGCACCCCCCATCTTCCCCTCCCTCCACACCAAGGTCGTTGTACATGTGCCTTGGGTCTCAGCCGGCTCACCGTCTCTTCACAGTCACCAAAGAGAACCACGGGTCATCAGAGGAAGCAGCTTTTATTGATGAGTTATCTCCAGAGACCAAAAAGACTATGCCCCCACTTTCCAGCCTGCTTCCCATCCTTCCTGGATCTCACATTGTTCCACCTGGGGAAGGGATATGAATTGCCTTGGTTTTCCAAAGCCCCCGTCTTTCCCCTCCCTGCGTAGCCTTAGAAATTCAGTGGCGATTGCGTTGTTTATTTTTTTCAGCAATGCCTGATGCAGCTACTTAGTAACAATTATGGGTGGAGGGGCTTGGGGGGGAAGCAGGTGGATGAGTAGGAGTGAGGCACAGAAACAGGAACAGAACATAGCCCGTCAAAGGTCCCTCTGTCCTGCCTCAGTGGCTTGATCCTTCATGGGTTGCCTTTCTCTTTATGCTGAATCACGCCCTTCTGAATCAGATCGGGGATTTCCACTGCCAGCCATGGACCCAGCTGCAACACAAGGGAGACCCTGTGAGATTACTACCACCGAGTCAGTGCCTCTTGTCCCATCAGAAGCTCCTTCCTAGACAGATTTTTATGAGCGTGCCCACGGAAAACACTGTTATTCCCTGTTTACTCTCAGTTACTTTTCTTACATTGCTCAGTGCCTAATTCCTCCCCCTCCCCTAATATGCCAAATATCCCAAACTTACCCCCAGAGCCATGAGATGAGCTAGTCCAAACTTGGGCACGTTCCTGGCCCACAAAGGCTTAAAGTGATCAGTCAGGCATATTTTGCCACCCCTAGGAGAGGGACAGGAGGAAGAAGGTGTTGACATGCAAGGTTTACCATAAAGCATAGCAGCCTCTTGGAAGCACAAGATGATAGCCAGTGATCAGAATTAGGCCCAAGGTTAGCTGAGTACTTTGCCCAGGTGCGCTAGAGGGGAGCCTGGAGGCCTTCTAGGCGCTAGGACAATTTTGTCTCCCAGAGGTCTTCCCTAAGGCCTCTTAGACCTTTTCCCATCTCCTTTTGAGTCCTACCTGTACATCTTTGCTGTCTTTCCATCCAGTTCAGGGACTGCAACTTCTGGAGCAGTAGTGGGGTATGTGATAGGAATCTGGAGGAAATATAAGGCCTTAATGACACAAGCATCGGGATAGAAAGGAACTAGTCCAATCACACGTATCTCTTGGTTGAACTGAAATGTGCGACAACCCCCCCAAGCAGCATGCCGACGCAGGGACGCTGGACATGGAGAGGAGTAGCTGTCCTCTATGCTTGCTCCAATCCTTAGCGCTTCCCTCCCATTTTGAAAGTTTTCTCTGGTTCCTCCAAGACAGGTTAGCTTGTTAACAGCCACCTAATCCCTCCCCTTCCACTAACTTCCATATTTCCCATTCCATCAGACTTACGTCAAACTCGATGTCAAACTCATATTTGAGCAGGTCATGGATGTACCAGCATTTTCCAAACCACCTGTAACAAAGACCAAACCTCAGTCCAATCAGCCCATTCTTCTCATGCTCAAATAACATCTTCTTGGCTTAGGTGATCAGCCTGGGAGGCTCACGGGATGGGAACTGGGGCACTCTGGACTGTGGGCGGGAGACAGCTAACAGGAGGCAGGGAAGGCCTGGCAGTGGGCTTTGGGACATTAAAGTGCTCAAGCCATGTAAGATTCCCACTCCCCCAAACGACCAAGAGGGTCTGCCTACCGAGTCCCTTCCTTGTTGGACTCCAGTCGGAACCAATCATTGTCGGCATTCTTGTTGTTCTCCACGTACTAAAAGCAGAGAGTGAGATCTTTGAGGAGGGAGTTGAGGCCAAGGGCAGTCCTCTTCCCTCAACAGAAAAGTGTGTGGTTACTTTCTTAGTGTGTACCCAACTTTTTTTTTTTTTGTTAAAGCTCATTTATTTTGAGAGAGCATGCACACAAGTGGGGGAGGAGGAGAGATAAAGGCAGAGAGAGAGAGAGAGAGAGAGAGAGAAAATCCCAAGCAGGCTCCTCGCCAACAGCGCAGAGCCTGACTCGGACTGCATCCCATGAATCATGAGATCGTGACCTGAGTCAGAAGCTTAACCAACTGAACCACCCAGCTGCCCCTGTAAGTTGAAATTTTCACTTTCCCTTCACAGGAACCTCAAACTCAGCATTTCCCCCTGGTCCTTCAGACCATTTCTTCACTGCACCAATTTCGATGACCGCATTTACTCAGTCATGCAAACCAAACCCTGGGAATCATCCTTGACCTTCTCTCTCCTCTCCTCTCCCCAGACCTTCACGACGTCCTGCTGATTTTACCCTTTGAAGGTTCTTCAAATCTACCTCTTCTCTCTATCCTAACTATACCGATCCAGCTTAGATCATCACCTTTCTTTCGCCTGGATTAATGACAGCCTCCTAAATTTGCTTCCTCCCTTCAATCTCATCTCTTTCAATCCCATTTTCCTCTCCACTGCCATTGTGGTTGACCTAACCCCAATCTGACCATGCCATCCCTCAGCTTAAAATACTGTAAAGGTATCCCAGTGCCTACAACAGAAATTTCAAGAGCTCAAGCCGATCTCTCAAGCCTTGTCTACCATTCCCCGCCATACACTTGATGCTTTAGCAACTCTGAACTGCTTCCATTTCTGTTTCTTCACAGGCATCGTGCCCTTTCTAGCTTCTATGCTTTTGTTCATGCTGTTTCTTTTCCCGTGAACATCTTTCTCTTATCCTCATGTTGATCAGATTAACTTATGTTTACCCTTTCAGGCTCAGCTCAAGCACTGCCTCTTCGAGGAGAAGCCCTCCTCGGACAAGACCCAAGCTGGATTAGGTATCTCACCTTCGGCTCTCAAAACATCCTAGCAATCTTTCCCTCCCCCTCTCCCGCCCCTTAACGAATTGTAATGATTTGTTTCTATCCATCTCAGCAGGCTCCAGCTTATTCGGCTTTGGATCCCGTTCCTAGGTGCTAGGTTACAATAAATGTGGTGGGGTTTTGTTTGTTTTTTAGCGAATAACGTGCTGCTGCCCTTTGAAACAGAGGCCACGGCAAGGAAGGCAAACTTTCTTCCTTTTCCACAGAAGGGAGAGGAGCCGGGAAGATAGCTCATTCCTGACTGTGAGCTTCACTCCTCAACTCTTGGCAACTAACGCCTGAATTTTCAGCCTTAGCCTGTGCCTCCCTCAGGAAGAGTGAAGGAAGGAGAAGAGCGATGAGCCAGGGACTTGGAGCTCCAGGAATCCCTTTTGACTGCCTCCCCTCCATCCAGGAGGGACACGTCACCTTCCGGGGAGGCGTATCCCTAAGACAACTGCTGCTTTGGCCCCGCCTGGGCTCCCAAGCTGAGTTTCCTTTGCCCCCTCCCCACCATACCCTCCTAAGCCCCCCCAGCCCCACAATCGTCCAGTTTCTCTGAATTTGGGACTTAAACTTTATAACCGGAAGCGGCTTCCACACGGAGCGTATTCCCAAGGACACCCGATTACCCGCAACCCTTCGGCGACGCGGTCGGCCGCAGAAGCACGACTAACCCGGATAAGAGACTGATATTCCTCTTTGAGTCGCTGCACCCACAACTCACGATCTCGAGGTCCGGCGTTAGTCTTCAGCACCGGGATCTCAGACACCACACGCCGGGTAGCCTCGTCCGCCATCTTGGACGAGGGCGCCAGAGAAACGCGGAAGTGGTACTGCCTGCAGTTTACACTCAGGGGGCCGCCATCTTTACTGTGGGACGATGGGCTGTTGGGCTGCCTTCGGACTTCTTTGAGTGCGGTCTTTATTTTCTTGTAACGAAGACAAATTTGTCACCTGGTCACTTGCTTGTGGGTGCAACGGAAAAGAGAGAACGTAACGGATTGCTTCTTAATATGGCACCTATTATTTAAAAAACCCGCAGATTGCTCAAAGGGTGACTTCCGCTCATGCTCAGAGAAGGAGTTTCAGAAAACTCGGCCGCCTTCCCAAACTTGGGAGAGTTGTTAGAATTTCAGGCTGGTGTAGGCACTGTGCGGGGCACTGTCTTCCTGAAACGCGCTGTTCACGTGTTTGGATAAGCTTCCTTAGCTTCCATGTAGTTCGGTTCAGGTAGCAGGGGCAAAGCAGTCATCCAACAGAAGGATATTGAACTCGTGATAATGATTGGAAACCATGGGGAATCAAAGTATACACACCCTGGGTCCTGAAGAATTAACACAATCGAATTAGAGAATTCTTAATAAGTGCCCAAGCAGTTTAAAGATCGCAGGAAAACTTGCCTTAGTCTAGCCTAGACATTTTTTGATCTGGATTTAAATCACCCAGGAAGGATTCTGGTGCATGGCACACAGTAGGTATCTGGTCATACTTTTGCAGAATATTGTATCTTCCTGTTGGCTTTTCAACCCAAACACAATTTTGGCTTTAATTTACATATCATGTTTACTCCCTTAATCAGCCTGTGGCAGTAATTTTGAATCAGATTCGTCAAATTGTATAGTCCATTTACAAAGCTATATCTTAATTATAAGCATGCTATATCTTCATTTCTAATGGCTGTAACTTCCAGTACAATGTTGAATAAAAGTTTTGAGGGCATTCATCCCTGTCTTGTGATTTTAGGAGGAAAAGCATTGGCTTTTTTCATTATGATGTTAGCTGTAAGCTCTTCATAGATGGCCCTTTATCAGGTTAAGAAAGTTCCCTTCTATTGTGGTGTTGAGGGTTTTTTATCATGAATGGATGTTGGATTTTTTCCAAATGCTTTTTTTGTATGTGTTCATTAGGATGATAATGTGGTTTTTGTCTTTTTTTAGCATGCCATATATTTCTTTCTTTAAAAAAAAAAAAAAACATTACATATTGGATAAAGCTAAGGCAAAGCTTTGCAATACCTTACTAGCAACCTCTCTTCTCTGGGAAGTAAAGATTTATTCCCTTTTGGGTGTAGGCACTGTAGAGTGGTACAGATTACAGAGATTAGGAATGAGGCTTTGCAATTTAATTGTCATATGACTTTGGTGATGGGGTGAGGGGACGATGGGGAAATGTAGGTTAAATGGTGCAAACTTTCTAATAAAAGGAATAAATTCCAAGGATCTAATGTACAGCATGATAACTATAGTTGATGATATGGTATCGTATATTTATTTGAAAGTTGTTGAGAGTAGATCTTAAGCATTCCCACTACACACACATACACATATACACACGCACACACACAAAGAATTAACTATGTGAGTCAACTATGTGAAGCATATGTTCATTATCTTGATCTTGATAATCATTCCACCATGTATATGTATTTATAATCATCATGTGTATATGTTTATGATAGATATACATGCATGTATATCAAATCATCACTTTAAATATATACAAAAATATTTGTTAGTTACTCCTCAATACAGTTGGGGGGGAAAGATTTTGGAGAGTAATCGTGCAAACAGTATTTTCTCACGTGCAAAAGGAGGATAGTAGGGTGCCTGGATGGCTCAGTTAAACCTGCAACTCTTGATTTCAGCTCAGGTCACAACCTTGCAGTTTGTGAGATTGAGCCCTGCATCCCAGCTCCTGCTGAGAGAAGCCTGCTTGGGATTCTCTCTTTCCTCTCTCTGCCCCATTCTCAGTCTCTCAAACAAATAAACTGAAAAAAAAAAAAAGTTTTATTGGTTGTTGTTGTTGTTGTTTTTACAGTTCTGTTGCTATGTTTTATTAAGTGTTTATTTATTTTTGAGAGAGAGAGAGAGAGAGAGAGAGGGAGAAAAAACACACACAAGCAGGGGAGGGGCAGAGAGAGAGACACAGAATTTGAAGCAGAGCCCGACAAGGGGCTCAAACTCATGAACTGTGAGATCATGACTTGAGCCACAGTCAGATGCTTAACCAACTGAGCCATCCAGGTGCCCCTGAAGAAAAAATGTTTTAAAAGGAGGATAGTAATGCTTATAGGGTTGTGACTATAAATGCAATGTCTCTTTGTTCATTCATTCATTCATTCATTCACATAATAGGCTTTCAGGATGAAATTCAGATTAAATATATAGCAGTAATTTTCAAACCTTCTGTAGTAGCAGAGCCGAATTTACAAACAAAATCTTAAGTTGGAATCTCAAAATACAAAAACGATCAATGCAGACCTGCCCTCTCTCAACTGCAGCCAGACCTCTAGTCCTTAGAATACTTCCCCTATGTTAAGGACTCATCACACTTTGTTAATTGTTTAATTGTCTTAAAAGACTGGAAGTTCAAGGTAGGGACTGTGTGTCTATCTGGTTCGTTGCTGTATTTCTAAAATGTAATAATGTACTGTAGTGCCTGTCACAAAGTAGGTGCTCAATCAGTATTTTTAAAAATAAATGAAAATCTGGGACATCTGCCTAGCTAAGTCAGAAGAGCATGTGACTCTTGATCTTGGGGTTATAAGTTTGAGTCCCATGTTGGGTGTAGAGATTTCTTAATAAATAAACATTTTAAAAATAAATAAAATGAATGAAAATCTTAGTGGGTAAGGTAAGCACTAAAAAAGCTGTCTTTTAAAATCTGAATCTTATTTTTGTTTAATTGTGTTGGAGAATTACCTTATTAGACCATTTAGTAAAAAGCAGAGTTCATAATGTGTATGAAAGTACAAAGAGCCATCCCTATTGTAGGCATAGTTGCAACTCTGTAGGGTTTATTTACTTTTGTGAAATATTTATTTTTAAATTATGGACTTACGCTCATTCTTGCTTTGTGTAATTCTGATAAGTGATGAGAAGCTAGGACCTAGAAAACTGAGAGAAGAGTATGCAGGCCTGAACTTCTTTTTTCAAAGGAAGAACTCATTCATGAGCAAATGTTTATGGAGTCCCTGTTACTTCCAGGCACTGGGAATACAGTCATGTACAAGGCAGGCAGAGTCCTTGTCCTCATGGAAATGACCCTAAAACAGCTATAAAAAAGAATTGATCAGGATTGATTGGATAATTCAAGTCTAGAACATTCACTGATGTGAGACCATTATTTTGATGGGATAGTACAGTTGGGTATACAGGGGAGGCCCCAAAAGTAGTAGAAAGTCCCATTGCCAGCCATCACAGGAAAAGGTAGCTCCTGGACGGAAGGAGAAATAGACCACGGATTAGAGAAGAAATTGAAAGTTTTCCCTGCTCTGGTCTTTATGGGGTTGGTCCAGACTCCAATATGCTGGAAGACACCTCAAAATGGTGAAGGGAATGCTGGCTCTATTAGAGGGAGGGAGCCATCCTAAAGAGGATACGTGCAGATGGGCAGCCAATTTTGGAAATTTTCCTGTTATTGCCTAGCAAAGAATTATCATAAATTTTAACATTGTCTCCGTTATGCCGTGGGAAAAATCGGGTCCGCACTTAGAAGCACTTGGTAAAGAGAACCCTAACAACTAACGTTTACATAGTGCTCACTATGTGCTAGGCACTGTCCTAAGCATTTTGCAAAATCAACTCCCTTACATCTGGCCACAACCTCAAGGCAGGTACTCTCATTGTCCTCATTTACATTGGAAGAAAGTGAGGCACAGTCAGCCTCCATGAAAGAAAGCCCTGGGGCGCCTGGGTGGCTCAGTCAGTCCTACTCTTAATTTCAGCTCAGGTCATGATCTCACGATTTGTAAAAGCGAGCCCCGAGTTAGGCTTTGTGCTGACAGTGCAGAGCCTGCTTGGAGTTCTCTCTCTCCTCTCTCTTTCTCTCTGCCCCTACCCCCACTTGCACACGCTCACTTTCTCTCTCTTTCTCTCTTTCAAAATAAATAAACTTTGAAAAAAAGGAAGGAAGGAAGGAAGGAAGGATGGAAGGAAGGAAGGAAGAAAGAAAAGAAAGAAAGAAGGGAAGGAAGGAAGAAAAAGAAAAGAAAGCCCTATATTACATAGCCAGTAAATGGTAAAGCTGGAATTCAATCCTGCTCCGTCTGCATACAGAGAGTCTGGTGGTTCTGAACCAAGCACTTCAGAACTGCAGGAACACGTATGAGACCACCAACCTCTTCCCTGGAACGGGCTGACGTGCGTGTGGACCCCCCTGAGGTGTGCATAGGAACTTTGGAACTGTGGACTCTGAGTTTCACTATCAATGTGACTTCCCTTCTACCTACCAGCTGGGAAGATCTGGGGGCGCCAGAGGAATTGGTTAACAGAGATGAGAAGACCTCTTTTCATTGGGGAGGAGAAACTAATATGCAGACAATTACCATCAAAAAAAGTCTCTGTTCCCCAGGTGTACAAAGTACTGTCTAAGCGACAATGCCTGAGAGAACAGGGTAAGGCTGATGGCCTTTGAACCCCAAGTCTTAGGATGAATCCCCTGGATGTGCAGGCGAGGAGAGAGCAGGGGAGGTATGGCGTTCTAGGCAGACCGAGAGCACCAGTAAGGCAGGAAGCCACAAGGAAAGATCATTATTTATCACGGAAGGGGGAGAATGCTCGTAGGAACCATTAATATTATATTAATTCTATGCGATATGCTATATGAAAATAGTTATGAGACAAACATCAGAACACAAAATTTTATATACCTGGAGTTCAAAAATATTTGCTTTTGAATAGCTAATCCATGCACCTGCACAGAATTCAAAAGGTACAAAAGGATGTAGAGTCAAACGTTAAGTCTCCCTCTTACCTCATTCCTTGGCAGCTTAGTTCCCTTCTCTAGGGGCCCTCTCCTCCAGCTAGTTATATATATTATTATAACATATAATAATCTATAATATAATAATCTATTATAATATATAATAATTATTAATATAATGCATATACAACTATCTCATTTTTCTTTTCCTTCTCTCTCCCCCTCTTCTTCTTTAGGAAATACCCCCATGGTAGGGATTCGCCATAACTTCTCCAACCAGACCCTCATGGAGAGATATTTAGATTGTGTTCAGTTTTTTTGCTGTTGCAAACGGTGCTGCAGTTAATAGCCTGGTCTATCCACCACTTTGTACATGTGCAATAAATACTCACATATGGAACTGCTGCCTCCAAAGATGTGTGCATTTTAAGTTTTGCTAAATATTGCCAAATTACCGTCCAGAAAGATTAAAGCAATTTGTAGTACTGTTAGCAATAAATGAAACAACAAGGTCTCCCCCCGCCCCCCACCCCCAAACAGGTCATGGTTAACAAAAGAGCTGTTTTTGCTAATTCCGTGATTGAAATGGAATCTCAGAACAATTTTAATGTCCATCTACCTCTTTTATGAAGAGTGAGGCTGATTTTTTTTTTCTTTTTTTTAAGTAAGCTCTGTGTCCAATGAGGGGCTTGAA